AATATGAATTATTAAAACAACACTTCTACAACTGACTCTCATTCAACAGAGCATTTCCACCGACAATGTATCATTTCCCTTCTTGGGCGCCCCTGAATGAGCGCCCCTGAAGTGTAGTGAAATAACCCATTCTATAATGTTGCTAGGGAAAATTAATAGATATTTGGCCAATCAGCATCGCCACAATTAATGGCTTTGGGGCTCCTGGAAATTTCTTCCCTGCTGCGGTGATATAGGTGATGTAGCATGGATAAAGACAGGTTCCCTCTGTCTTTTTCCAGGACCTGGTTTAGCTCCAAGGCTAGGCTAACCGCATGCAGCGAGGCTAACAGCATGCAGCAAAGCTAACAGCATGCAGCGAGGCTAACTGCATGCAGCCAGGCTAACAGCATACAGCGAAGCTAACTGCATGCAGCCAGGCTAACTGCATGCAGCCAGGCTAACAGCATGCAGCCAGGCTAACTGCATGCAGCGAGGCTAACCACATGCAGCCAGTCTAACTGCATGCAGCTAGGCTAACTGCATGCAGCGAGGCTAACTGCATGCAGCCAGGCTAACCGCATGCAACGAGGCTAACCGCATGCAGCGAGGCTAACCACATGCAGCGAGGCTAACTGCATGCAGCGAGGCTAACCGCATGCAGCGAGGCTAACCGCATGCAGCGAGGCTAACTGCATGCAGCGAGACTAACTACATGCAGCCAGGCTAACTGCATGCAGCCAGGCTAACTGCATGCAGCGAGGCTAACAGCATGCAGCAAAGCTAACTGCATGCAGCCAGGCTAACAGCATGCATCCAGGCTAACTGCATGCAGCTAGACTAACCGCATGCAGCAAGGCTAACAGCATGCAGCGAGGCTAACAGCATGCAGCGAGGCTAACTGCATGCAGCGAGGCTAACTGCATGCAGCCAGGCTAACAGCATGCAGCCAGGCTAACTGCATGCAGCCAGGCTAACAGCATGCAGCCAGGCTAACTGCATGCAGCGAGACTAACCGCATGCAGCGAGGCTAACAGCATGCAGCGAGGCTAACTGCATGCAGCGAGGCTAACCGCATGCAACGACGCTAACATCTCAGGTCCCTTTCCAGTTCACCAGATCATCCAGTCAGATTGATTCAAAGTTTTCTATCTAAGGAAAACCGGCTGATTGCATCGACTCATTGACTCTTCAGCAATCCCTCACACTAAGCATGCTTGTAGCGACAGTGGAGAGGAAAACTCCCTTTGAACAGGAAGAAACCTCCAGCAGAACCAGGCTCAGTGTGAGCGGCCATCTGCTGAGGCCGACTGGGGTTCAAGGAGACAGAAGCAGACATAGAAAAAGAAGCATAGATACAAAAGGCAACTGTCTACCAGCTCCATAGGCTTAGGATTTATTTCATCTAAATGAATAATGGAGAACAGATAAGCAGATCATGGCTTGTCTACAGTGAAAAGAAGGACTGGGTTATTTACTTTGGCCTTTTTGGAAACACAGGAAGGAGCAATCAGCTAAGTGAGCTTAGTGCTTGGAAAAAATCTTTCATTCCTTTAGAGACAGCATGAAAAGTCAGCTGAGTACAAAACATAGAGAGGAAAACAAGAAGAAAAGGGACAAGAAGAGAGGGACAAAACCTAGAACAGATAATGGATGTCTATTCTATTAACATTTCTCCTTCTGTAGAACGGGTCTGTTTTATGTGTTGTCGTCTCCATTCAGAGGGCCCCCTGCCTGTCTTTGCCTAGGGCCCCAAATTTCCTAAATCCACCCCTGGTGGTAGGCCTTTCTTCTATCACACTAATGTTGAGCTTCACCAGAGTTTATGTGATAGATACACATAAGGATGGCTGAGATGCTCTAAAACCTAAACTAATGCACTAATTATGTTGACATACTGCTTTTTTAAAATTTGTTTTGTTTCACCTGATAATAGTAACACAGAAGTACTCAATCTGTAGGTTAATATTCCACAGAATCAACCAATCAGCAAAATTTCTATCTGTGTTTGTATTCTTTAAAGGAAAAGTTTGCTCATATTTAGAATTCAAACTTAAAATGATTCCATCCTGTTCAATAAATGATCAGTGTTTTAATTCAGAGGCATCATTTACTGGAGGCATCCATGTTTGTCAAAGAACACTACTGCCACCTACTGGTTTGTGACGTCACGGTGCGGTATCGGCTGTTGATCAAGTCCCAGTGCTGTATCTGGTGTTTGTCACAACGCGCTATTATCCAAGTCATCTTGAAAACAGTCTTCTTCCAAATGTTGGCTACATATTACGTGTTTTTTCTCTGGCCATTAGTTCGATGGCAAATCCTCCCTCTTCAAGTTGGCGATCCAACTACCAACCCGTCCGTGGAGGATCAGGAATCAGAAAGGTGGAATAACTCTTTATTTTCACTTTTACCATGGCAGGAGGGAGGGGTTACTATATTTGGGCAAAAATGGCCGCTCCGAGACTCAGTATTCACGATGAAAATTATTGTTTTTATTTTTTTTACTGATTAACACTTAATTCATTAAATCACTGCAAACATTTTAGTTTTAGGTATAAATAATCATTCATTAATTATTCCTCGCTAGGCGGACTTTTCCTTTTAGCTCTCATAAAACTAGCAGCAGGGATTTGCTTTAAATGAAATACTGACATGTCCAAATGGATCTGAATTTGACATTTTCCTCAAGCCTTCTTGATTTGGGACCAGAATGAATAAAGATTTTGGAAAGAACCAAGTTCCTTCATCCTAGTTGGCATAATTCAACTCATTTTATTTATATAACACCATTTCACATCACATTTGATCTTTAGGAACTTTATTCAAACAATGAACTCTGTTTAAACATTAAGCATTAGAATGAATACATTTAGTTGATATTGGTGTTTTTCCAACCAAATATCTCCTTTGTTGATAACTTAGCCATAAAGCTTTGGAGGTTTATCTTCTAACAAATTGTTTATTTTTAACATAAGTATTTTTAACAATAATCCTGGAGCAACTGGGAGGGTAAGAAAGAGGAGGAGTTTCTGGTAGATAGATGGTGGGTAGCTTTAGCAGCATTCCAGCGGCAGACTGGCCTCATTGTCCTGTGTTTGTGGGAACCTCCTTTAAGAGCGATTAAATGGAAACCGGAGACGCTGGATTAGTGACCCTACTTATGTTCACCCCAACCTGCTGTAGATCAAGCCTTTCAACCTCCTTACCTCTCCTTGCATGCACACACTCATCCAATCAGCCACACACACAGACACACATGTTACTTCTCATAGGTCGTAAATATAAGGATGTTCAGGGTTATGTGGCGCCGTTTGTAAAGGTAAGCCATCTTTACAAAGGTAAGCTCCACCCACCCCAAGTCATTTTTTCACTATGTCATTTATTAATTTATAAAAATCTTACTTTGTTTAATAAATATTTAGTTTTTAAATAAATATTTAGCTCCAAACTAAATATTTAGCAAGGTACCATCCAAGGACCAATACTATTCAATTCAGTTTATTTCTATAGCACCAATTCACATCATGTCGTCTCAGGTCACTTTCCAGTTCACCAGATCATCCAATCAGATTGATTCAAAGTTTTCTATCTAAGGAAAACCAGCTGATTGCATCGACTCATTGACTCTTCAGCAATCCCTCACACTAAGCATGCTTGTAGCGACAGGAGAGGAAAAACTCCCTTTGAGCAGGAGAAAACCTCCAGCAGAACCAGGCTCAGTGTGAGCGGCCATCTGCTGAGGCCCACTGGGGTTCAAGGAGACAGAAGCAGACATAGAAAAAGAAGCATAGATACAAAAGGCAACTGTCAACTAGCTCCACAGGCGGCCCCGTCCAGGAAACACACAGCCAGGCAGACGAGCTCCGAGCCAGCTCCCATGCCGGAGGATGAAGAGAACACATCCAGTTAGTCACAGTCAGAGAAAGAGGACTACACTGGAAAACAGGCCAAGCTCCAACATCTAGAAACAAAGGTGTTGATGGCAGCAGCACAGCTGATATTTCTCTCCAGGATGGAGTCACAGCCAAACAGGAACAGACCAGATGGAGCTACTATGAGAACAAGCAGAGAGAGCAGAACGTTAGAGATTGAACTAACAGATTCTGCAGAGTGGGAGAATAGAGATAGAATGAAGCAGAATGATGAAAAAGGGGTTCCTATGTCCTCCAGCAGTCTAAGCCTATAGCAGCAGAACTATCGAGATAGCTCAGGATAACCTGAGCCACTCTAACTAGAAGCTTTATCAAAAAGGAAAGCTTTAAGCCTAGCCTTAAAAGTAGACAGGGTGTCTGCCTCACGGACTAAAACTGGTAGTTGGTTCCACAGGAGAGGAGCCTGACAACTAAAAGATCTGCCTCCCATTCTACTTTTAGAAATTCTAGGAACCACTAGTAAACCTGCAGATTTAGAGCGAAGTGCTCTGTTAGGAACATAAGGAACAATCAGATCTCTGATATCAGGTGGAGCTTGGCCATTTAAGGCTTTATATGTGAGAAGGAGGATTTTAAATTCTATTCTGGATTTAACAGGAAGCCAATGAAGAGAAGCCAAGATAGGAGAGATATGATCTCTCTTTTTCATTTTCATCAGAACTCTGGCTGCAGCATTTTGGATCAGCTGAAGGCTTTTAACTACAGTTTGTGGACTTCCTGATAGTAAAGAATTACAATAGTCCAGCCTTGAAGCAACAAATGCATGGACTAGTTTCTCAGCATCACCCCTGGACAGGAGATTTCTCATTTTTGCAATATTCTGCAGATGCATAGGGTTTAGAATATTCCCTTCTAAACCTCACACACAGTTAGCCTGAAACGCTTCACTATTAGCATATTTTGTTGGTGGATATTTTATTCTACATTTGAGATGAAAAACCATTTAGATACCTGCATTGTTAGTTTCTCTATTATTAACATGGTTTTAGATTTTCCAGGATATACCCTTCTATTTCAATGCTTAATTAGTAGAAATAAATATTACTTGCTTGATGTTTGGTAGATTTTAATTAAACGAGACACCAATCAGTGTAATCTTTTTAATATACAAACCATAAACACATTTTTAAAACTCTCACATAACAATACTTAATATGCCATTCAGCTGTTATTCAGAGACAACAACTAGATTATGATTATGCACTCAGAAAGACTGATGTCAGATCACTGATGACAACAGATTAGAAAAAAGAAAAAGAATCATTGTAAACCACAATCTGTACCTGACTTAAATCCAATTAAACAATCATCAAGCAGGATGATTTTACAAAATATAAGCATCAATTCAATGTAGAAAAACAGATCTTGTCTTACACAAGCATGGTTGGCTATGCAAACAGATTCTGTACCTTTTCTGTTATAAATTACATTCTATAATAAATAACTTACAAATATCAATAAAACAGGAGAAAAAAACTTCAACTATTTGACCCATTTCGCTGCTTATTTAAGATAAAATATCATAGAGCGTACCTTAACCATAAAACAAATAAATCTTGGCTGTTTGTTCATAATGTGCTTCCTTCATCTGCAGTCCTCGTCAATATATCAGTACGGCTTACTATCATTCTTTGAACGCTTCAGTTGGACCTTCAGCCTTTTCATCCCAATCTGGAAGCCGTTCATGGATTGGATGGCTGCCTGTGATGACACTGGATTATCGTAGCTCACAAAGCCTACAGAAGAAATATGAACACATCACTAGATACTATGTTAGTACATTTACAGTACTAAAGATAATAATAATATGCATTAATTCTTTCTAACAACCGTAAAGAACTTTCTCACTTTCATCATTCATTAATAAAGCAATACAAAGCTTAAGTAAGAATATAAAAGTTTAATTCATTGTTTTATTGTCAATTCTTCTCTAATTCAAAATAATAGCAATAATTTCCAATGGAGTCATGAAGGAATGTTAAAAACTTAAAAATGTACGGTTTTCAATCATTAATTCAGTAATTAGAACTATTTTCGGCAAGTTTTATAAAATTATTTCTTTAAAAATGATAAAAGATATACAAATACAAATTTGCTTTCATTGTGGTAAAGTTTTGAATTATGTGTTGGGATCTGGAGGTCTGTCCACTTTCTCCACCAGAGGGCGTACTAGATCTCCTGGAGCCGGAGCTGATCGCACCACCTGTCGCTCATCTGCTCATCAGGAGATCCATATTTAAGGAGGCAGAGGACTTCTCTCCAGTGCCAGAGTGTTTGCCAGTTACGGTTAGACAGCCTGAGCCAACCAGCCTTTCTGAACCTCTGACTCCCTGAAAACCTGAACCTGATCTGTTTTCTCCTCTCTGCTTCCTAGATTGAACCTGTCTAAAACCTGAAACCCAGAAGAGTATCTCTGCCGGTAATCTGCCTGTCTGTTCTCTGAAGAACCCTGGAAAACTATTCCTGTCAAAGACCTGCCTGCCCGCTCTCTGAAGAAACCGGAAGGGAAACTCTAATCGGTAATCTGCCAACACTCAAACCAAGCTCTGCCTCTGCCTAGCCCTCTGCCTGCTGACAGCCTCTGGACCCTCAAGGTTCCCCCCTCAGCCGCTCAGCTCAACTCCTGTACAGGTACAGCCCTGCACACTCTCTTCCTGCAAATTATCTGGACCTCCACTAACTCCTCTGTCCCCCTCTGCAGTGAACCCACTAGTGACCAGTCCTGGACCTGTTAACTTTGTGTGTATTTCAGAATCCACTCGTGACCAGACGAGTTCCCCTTGGGATCTGTTTATTTATTGTATTCCATCTTCTAAATAAACCTTTGAACTTTTATCCTGCCTCGGAGTGTTCTGCATGTGGGTTAGGCACCTGAAGCCAAACATGACTCCGGAGGATATTGGAACAACAACAAACTCTGTTTCAGAGCCACAACACCGCCCTCCGTGAGTTAAACACACGTCATGACCAAACAAACCGCTCTTTACAGGAGATAGCCGGCTATCTGCAAAATGCTACACCAAGAACGGAGCCCGCTCAACTTCCGGTTCAAGAGACTAATCCTCCACTCAGGTCAGAACCCGGTCCGTCGTTTCCTGAATTCCGCCCTTCACTTCCTGAAAAGTTTTTTGGCAATCCAAGTAAGTGCAAGGGATTTCTGTTCCAGTGTAAACTCATTTTTGAACATTTGCCGTCCAGTTTCCCTAATGACAAGAGGAAAATTGCATTTATTCTGTCTCAATTGTCCGGAAAAACCCTTGAATGGGCGGAAGCCAGATTTTCTTCAGAATTTAATGTTTTGATTGTACATTTGAACAATTTATCCAAGAGTTTTCACAAGTATTCAATCAAGACACAGACAAGTCCACAGAGTCTCGTGGACTTTTAGAATTTAAACAAGGAAATAGAACGGTTGCAGAATTTTCAATCGACTTCCGGGTCAAAGCGGCTGCTTCCGGATGGAATGAATCTGCGCTTATTTCCATGCACTAGATGAATCCATTAAGGACGAGCTGGCCACTATCGATGAACCAGCAACCTTGGAGGAGCTCATCAAGTTAACAATCTGTTTCGATAACAGACTACGAGCCAGATTCAAGTCTAGATTTAGAAGCCATGTTTCTTCTGTCTCTGCCCCAGCAGCTAAGAATAATGACACAATTTCTTCCTCAGTGTCCTCTGAAGCTGAGTCCAGATCAAAGAGCCAGAATCAACCTGTATCTGTCCCTGTATCTAAGACTCATTACGTCTCTATCCTCCACAGAATCCTCTGAAGTTGAGCCAATGCAGATCGGTCACACCAGGCTCACATCCGAGGAGAGGCTAATAAGGTTTAAGGGGAACCTTTGCATGTACTGTGGAGAACCTGGTCATTTTGTTTCAACCTGCCCAGCTAAGGTAAAAGCCGGGGTCCGCCAGAGGAAATGAGGAGTCTGGTGGACCATCTGTTTCTCACAGATCAATCCCTCACGCTTTCTGCATTAATAGACTCTGGTTGTGAGAAAAATCTAATTGACTCCAGTCTGGTTCAACAATTGAACATAGAAACCACTCCTTTGTATAAACCTCTGAGAGTTTCGGCCCTCGACGGTAAAAGATTACCTCAGGTCACACACCAAACTAAGCCGCTCGAACTGTTAATCTCCGGCATTCACAGAGAAAAAATATCCTTTTTCGTGTTTCCATCAGCCAGTTCATCCATAGTCCTTGGTTTTGAGTGGCTTAAACTTCATAATCCACACATCAATTGGTCCAAAAGACATGTTGAATCCTGGTCTGCATCCTGCCATGTTTCCTATCTCCGCTCCGCCGCACCTTCGACTCAGTCTCCGGCTAGCCGTCAGGAGGCTGACCCGCCTGATCTTTCCTCTGTACCTCATGACTACCATGACCTAGCACCTGTTTTCAGTAAGGTTAGTGCGCTTTCTCTTCCCCCGCATAGACCTTATGACTGTACAATAGATCTGTTACCTGGATTCCCCCTCCCAAATAGTCGACTCTATAACATTTCCAAGCCCGAGAGAGAGACCATGGAAAAGTACATTAATGAGTCCTTTGCTGCCGGTATAATTCGGCCTTCTTCTTCTCCTCTCGGGGCCGGCTTCTTCTTCGTAGGAAAGAAGGATGGATCCCTGCGACCTTGTATCGATTACAGAGGTCTAAATCAAATTACTGTTAAAAACAAATACCCTCTACCCCTGATAGCTTCTGCCTTTGAACCCGTCCAAGGAGCCACTGTTTTCACCAAGTTGGACTTAAGAAACGCCTATAATCTCCTCAGAATCAGAGAAGGAGATGAATGGAAGACTGCATTTAAAACTCCTCTAGGCCAATTCGAGTACTTAGTGATGCCTTTTGGTCTAACCAACGCCCCTGCCTGTTTCCAGGCCCTGGTTAATGATGTGTTGAGAGATTTTTTAAACATCTTCGTTTTTGTCTATATTGATGACATTCTGATCTACTCCAAAAACCTGTCTGAACACAAGAAACACGTCCGTTTGGTTCTTCAAAGACTCCTTGAAAACAAGCTGTTTGTCAAAGCTGAGAAGTGTGAGTTTCATCGTCCTTCTGTCACCTTTCTAGGTTTTGTGCTCGAGGGCGGGCAGGTGAAGCCGTCTGAGGACAAGATCAAGGCGGTTCTGGACTGGCCCACTCCCGAGAACCGTAAACAACTACAAAGGTTTCTAGGATTTGCAAACTTTTACAGAAGGTTCATCCGAAATTACAGCCAGACAGCTCAGCCTCTGACTGCCCTTACATCTGTTAAAAGGACTTTTCCCTGGTCTGCGGAGGCTGAGGCCTGTATTTAAGAAACTCAAGGCCCTGTTCTCTAGTGCACCCATCCTTGTCCAACCTGACCCCTCCAAGCAGTTCATATTGGAGGTGGATGCTTCTGATTCTGGGGTGGGGGCAGTCTTGTCCCAAGTATCTGATTCTGACCAAAAAACTCATCCATGCGCATTTTTCTCCTGCAGACTTTCGCCCGCAGAACAAAATTACGATGTCGGAGACAGAGAACTCTTAGCAATTAAACTGGCTCTGGAAGAATGGCGGCATTGGCTGGAGGGCGCAGAGCATCCCGTCCCGTATGGACAGATCACAAAAACCTATCATACATTCAATCTGCTAAGAGATCCAATCCCCGTCAGTCCCGTTGGTCACTATTCTTCTCAAGATTCAACCTGATTATCTCCTACCCGCCTGGCTCCAAGAACATCAGACCCGACTCTCTCTCACACCTGTACTCGCCCGACAAACCTGAAACTCCGGACTCCATTCTCCCTGCCAGCTGCACGGTGGCTACTGTCTCCTGGGAAATCTCTGATTTAATAAGACTGGCCCAAGCTTCTGAACCCGACCCAGGTAATGGTCCACCCAACAAAACCTACACTATATTGCCAAAAGTATTTGCTCACCCATCCAAATTATTGGAATCAGGTGTTCCAATCACTTCCATGGCCACAGGTGTATAAATTCAAGCACCTAGGCATGCAGACTGTTTTTACAAACATTTGTGAAAGAATGGGTCGCTCTCAGGAGCTCAGTGAATTCCAGCGTGGAACTGTGATAGGATGCCACCTGTGCAACAAATCCAGTCGTGAAATTTCCTCGCTCCTAAATATTCCACAGTCAACTGTCAGCTGTATTATAAGAAAATGGAAGTGTTTGGGAACGACAGCAACTCAGCCACGAAGTGGTAGGCCACGTAAACTGACGGAGCGGGGTCAGCGGATGCTGAAGCGCATAGTACGAAGAGGTCGCCAACTTTCTGCAGAGTCAATCACTACAGACCTCCAAACTTCATGTGGCCTTCAGATTAGCTCAAGAACAGTGCGCAGAGAGCTTCATGGAATGGGTTTCCATGGTCGAGCAGCTGCATCCAAGCCATACATCACCAAGTGCAATGCAAAGCGTCGGATGCGGTGGTGTAAAGCACGCCGCCACTGGACTCTAGAGCAGTGGAGACGCGTTCTCTGGAGTGACGAATCGCGCTTCTCCATCTGGCAATCTGATGGACGGGTCTGGGTTTGGCGGTTGCCAGGAGAACGGTACTTGTCTGACTGCATTGTGCCAAGTGTAAAGTTTGGTGGAGGGGGGATTATGGTGTGGGGTTGTTTTTCAGGAGCTGGGCTTGGCCCCTTAGTTCCAGTGAAAGGAACTCTGAATGCTTCAGCATACCAAGACATTTTGGACAATTCCATGCTCCCAACTTTGTGGGAACAGTTTGGAGCTGGCC